CGAAGGATGACAATGTGAGTGACGGCTGGCATCCCCGTGTGCCTTACAGGATGGGGAGGGGCCTGAGCATATGGCTTAGTGGGTAAAGTGCATGCTTAGGATTCATGAAGCCCTGGGGGTCACATTGCCACAACACCTGTAATCTCAGTCCTCCGGAGCTGGAGGCAGCAGCAGCAGAAGTTCAAGATCACCCTTTGCTTCTTGGAAAGTTTGGGGGTAGTACATGAGACGCTCTCTGTCTTGGCAGGGGTGGGGATGTGGATTATTACTGTAGCACGGCTCAGTGTCTCATTCCTTTTCCTGGCTGAATAATAAATACCCCATGTTGCAGCTATGCCAAGCTTTGTTTTCCATTCGGCATTTAATGAGTCTGTGGCTGAGCTTTGCTGCTTGTGCATACATGAGTGTCTCGTTTCTGGAGGTGGTGGGCACTGGCTTCCTTAGTGCAGCGTGTCCCAGTGTCTGCAAGGGGGCTGCTCCTGTCTCTGAAAGCGGACGGACGTGCACCCTGACTTGTTTCCTTTCCCCAGCAACATTCCAATGCATCCCAGTCCCTGTGTGACCTCATCCGCCTCAGCCGGGAGCAGATGATCCAAGGCCAGGACGGCCCGGAGCCAGACCAGCTGTTGGCCACCTTGGAGAAGTGGGTTTGCAGGGCCAGTGCTGCCGCCTAGGGAGGGACCCATCCTGGGGAGCCTGGCCCTTGGCCCTTCATTCTGACTCCCCTTCCCTCAGGCAGGAGACCATCGAGCAGCTCCTGAGCAACATGTTTGAGGGAGAGCTATGCCAGTCTGTCATTGTCAGCGGGATCCAGGTGCTGCTGACCCTCCTGGAGCCTAGAAGGCCAAGGTAGGGGTGCCAGCCTGAGTGGGCACTGCCCTGCTCGTCTGACCTGTCAAAGAGCTCCAGATGTTGAGGGCAAAAGGCTGTGGTGTCCTCTGGCCCGTCCTTGTGGCCCGTGTGGCTCACTTTGCCTTCTTTCTGCCCTCTCCACAACAGGTCTGACTCTGTGGCCATGAACAACTTCTTCAGCAGCGTGGATGGGCAGTTGGAGCTCCTGGCCCAGGGGGCCCTGGACAATGCAATATCCAGCATGGGTGCCTTGCATGCCCTGCGTCCCCGGCTTGCCCGCTTCCATCAGCTCCTGCTTGAGCCTCCCAAGGTGGGAGTCAGGTTGTTGTGATTCTGGGGGGACGTGGGGGTGGAAGCCAAGTACCCTGTGTGTACTCAGCATCCCTTGTTCCTGCAGCTGGAGCCTCTGCAGATGACATGGGGCAACCTGGCCCCACCACTGGGGAACACAAGGTTGCATGGTGTCAAGCTCCTGGCCAGTGCTCTGAGTACCAACGCTGCTGCCTTGACACAGGAGCTCCTGGTGCTGGATGTGCCCAACACCTTACTGGTACAAGGGCTGGACGGGCTCAGGGCCGGGGAGGTGGAGATGTGGGCAGAGCGGTTCTGACCCCAGCCTGGGCCCCATCCCCCATCCCTCATCCCTCAGGACCTCTTCTTCCACTATGTATTTAACAACTTCCTGCACGCGCAAGTGGAGGTGTGTGTGAGTGCCATGCTGAGCTCCGGGCCCCCTCCAGACAGCAGCTCGGAGACACCCAACCCAAACCCCATCTTGAAACATGTAAGCTGGGGCCCCTGCTCCCCTCCTGCTGGGGACCTGGTACCCGAGTCCATACCCTCCCAGAGGCCTCCCACTCGAAAGTATCAGGACCTAGGATGGGTGTGGGGTGCACAGTTGGGGGAGTAGGGAGGGCCAGAGAGTGCTATGACTGGGGACTGGGGATATGAGGAACAAGTGAGGGTGATCCTTGTGTATACTCCATGAGAGAAGTCAGCCCAGGAGAGGAGGGTCTCAACTTTTGTGTCTAGCTTAGGCTACATAGTGAGACCCTGTCTCAGGGGGAATAAGAAGGGCTTGGGATGAAGCTCACTTGGTTAAGCTGGCCTAGCATGCATGAAGAATGGATGGTCCCAGCACCACACGACAAAGCTGGTGTGGTTGGTGATACTCTTGGGAGAATCAAAAGGTTATGGTTAACTTTGACTACATAGTTTGAGGCTAGCCTGGGCTACATGGTCCTGTATCAAAACGGGGAAAAAAGAAAAAAAAAAAAGCCAGAGACACTGGCTTCGACCCTTTTTTCCTCTGCTCACAGGCCTGGGGCCTGGTGATGTGTGTTTGCTAAGTAAAGGCCCCGTCCCCAGCTGCTGGGCTCGGGCAGTGTGGCTGTCCCCAGGCCGACTGCGTCCTCTCTGCTCTCCTGCAGCTCCTTCAGCACTGCCGCCTGGTGGAGCGCATTCTGACCTCCTGGGAGGAGAACGACCATGTGCAGTCAGTGCTTGCTGCCTTCCTTTGGGGCAGATAGGGCTGTGGGGGGATGGGTTTGGGGCTTGGGTGGCCCTGGCA